TGCCCATTGATGAAGCCCGATGTGGACCAAATCTGGCTTGCTGGACAGCCTCCCCTTTCCAGCATTCCATGAGCGGGATCTTGAAGGGAGATCTGCTCAAACTGCCTCGCCAAATCAGCCTGGTTGGCGGCCAGATCCTCAGCGGAAAAATGATGAGGCTGCTGATCAGAGAAGAGCTGATCCATCAGCATGTCAGCATGTGAAGATTGCTGTTCAGAGGCGACCTGCTGCACAGGTTCTACATCCCGAACAGGTTCAGACTGCTCGGGGACGATGGGGGCAGATTGGGAGGATGTCCCCTGATCGGCCTTCCTCAACCTCTTCCTCTTTGTCTTCCTCTGCTGCTTGGAAGGGGAGGTTGGTGGCTCATCTTCAAAACCAACGGTAAATAGCCTGCTGTCATCCATTGCCGGCGGTTCGGGGTTGTCTCCTTCGGAATCTGAAGATTCGCTTTGTTTTGGAGCTGAAAAGACAAAAGGAACAAATTAGTACCGAGCGGTTCACACGTGGATTAAAAAAAAATTATATCACACGGGAAGGACCGCCCGGGCCATGGTACTTGGTTTTCAGTCAAGTAATTCCAGGAATACGGGCAGTACCTATCCCGGCTTTAATAAGCCGTTTGGGAGTCAGATATGGCATAATCTGGAAGCAACCACCCGCCTCCACAGCAATGATATCCTGGCTAAGATCTTCAGAGATGAATGGTTCGGGGGACTTTGGCGGGAAGGCGTTCCACTTTCTTGGGATCAGGCCGGCTGGGACAGATACAAAAAAGAACCGATCTTTCCATTCCTTGATGGAGGAGGGAGCCTTGGAGAACAAAATATGACCTGATCGGGAACTCGCGACTAGATAACCCTGGGCTTGTTGTGGGATGATCGAGAAAAAGTAGTGAAACAGATCTAAGGAAGGAGTCACCTTAGCTTCCACACAGCGACAAATAAAACCAGCCATTGCCCGGTAGGAGTTCGGCATTATTTGGGCTGGCACTATATTATAAAAATTTAAGAGGGAAACGAAGAAGGGGTGAAGGGGGAATCTAAGGCCGGCCTTAAGGGAATCAAAATGGACCACGACCATCCCTGGGAAGTGGCGCATTGGGTGGAGCCCCGATTGGAGGCGGAAGTCCACCGAATCAGGAAGTAACATCTGGATTTGGGCCCGGTTCTGGGCCGTAAGCTTTTGGCGCCTAAGCCTAATCAGGGCTAGGTCAAGCTTATGACAGGGAATACCGGCTGGAGGACCGGCTTTCATAACTTCCAATTCATCCCCCGATTTGGTGCCATCAGGGTAAACGTCGGAGGAGGAAGAGGAATCATCACCGTTAACTTCCGCCGGAATAGGAACAACTCGCAGCACATCAATGGGGTTTTCCTCTGGGATTGCGGTGCCGGAAGTAGAGGGTTCAGATGAACGAAGGGGTGCCATTCTCACCGAACGAGGGAACTAAACAGTAGAGGGAAGTTCGAGGGATACCTGAACAGAAGCAGCGGAAGAAGCTCTAGAGAGAAGGCAGAGTACTAAGCCGGAGATGCAAAGTTTCGAAACCCAGAATCAAAACCAGAGGAGCCTATTTATACTCTGCCACGCCGACTCAGCTGCCAATCAAAGGAGGACACGTTTCTTGTAATGATGACAGAGACACGTGTCACATAGAGAATCCGTCTCAGGTAATCATGGCGTTTATCGGAGAAGTGAAACGGCAGTTGCAAATAACCGTCAAAATATGCCTCGGGAACCGGCGGAATGCCATCCGATATTCACCCGAACAGCATTCGGGCAATAATTTTCTACTTCCTTATGCACTCACTACCGTTCGAGACATAGGAAGTGGGGGACTAGTGTTGGGATATTGGGTCCAGGCCCAATATCCCTAGGCCCAAATCCAGGAAGAAACAGCGGGCCCAAGGCAGTCCAAAAGAACTCTCGAACGGCATTCGGGATAGAATTTATACTTGGAACATTCCGGGAAACAATTATGCCAAATCATCAAGGCCATGTATCGATCAGCGTTCGGGACACTTCCGTTAACTAGATCACCTATGGCGGAGATACCGATCGGCGTTCGGGATATGTTCCTAAGCAGGATAAAACCTATGACGGGGTCCCACACACCGAACACCCTGCCCGAACGGGCAATCATCAAGTGGAAGCCGCATTTAATGCTGGATCATGGCAGCAGCAAGTGGGGGCATGGGTGCTTACATGGCAGAGGTGATAGCCTACCAGATTCGACCACGTGTCCACCTTACCCATCCCCATTTTAGTATAAATATCCATGTTTAGATCATTGTAAAAGGTTAGCATTTTAATACTCAGAGCTTAAGCAATAGATTTACATCTTCCACCCTTGTAATCTCGTATTCAGTTGCCGTTCGGGTAGTTTCAGTGTAATTGCTTAAATTACTGAATATAAGTAAGTTCTTGAGTTGAATATTATCTCACTATTTTATATTTTATACACATTTTCAACCCTACCCAAAATCCCTACAATATCCAAGGCTTGTGTTGGGCTTTCGGATCTTCGGGAATAAACCTCAACAACCGTGTTACTTCCGCTTGTCTTAATGTTAGTGGAAAGGATGTAGTTGGTGATACCATGATAATGGTGGGTTACAGAGAATAAAAGGTGGTTTTTTTTAAGTCTATTATAGTACTTCGTATATGTTTAGAAAGAATTGTAGGGGTAAATTACGTAGGGGGTGATAATTCGAGTACTTGGATATCTTAAGGATCGTGTAAGTTCACTTTCCGAATTGATATTTCTCCCCTATGCCTGGGTTACAAGAAATTCAATCTAGGATAATCCTTAAGGACACTCTAGAACTTAGGCACAAGAACTAGAGCCAAACTAGTCGAGTATATGGATTGTTATCTTTAATTTGAGCGCCAAAGTGATGAAGATATGTTGGATATTATTCCTCTACCTCCTCTGTACGAAATATGGTGGTATATCTCCATATTCATCGTCCTAGGCAGTAGTAACACGATTAAGAATAACCACGGCAGTTTTTGGGAAACTGCTGGAAACTGCCTAACCGTTCTAGAACTCGGTCTAGAACCACAGAGCTGGTCTACTGAAAGTTATACCTCGAGTTCTACCTCGAGTTCCACTAACGTAGACACTTTGGAACTAAACTAGTTCTTATATACAAGTGTGCACTCCACACCTACTAACTTGTATTAGATCATAGTTCTAATTTCCATTGGCACTCATGTCATTTCCAATTACACAAAACGGCCGGTGACACTAAAATCACCAACAAGAATGACATGAATATTACTTCCCAACTTTAGATGGACAAAAATACGATCATTTTTAAATTAGACAAAAAAGCGACCACGCTCAAACACCTAAACCAAACACCTAAACCTGAGCAGGCTTGTCCGATTTTTCTAGCATACACCGAGCTTCTCTCTGTTGCTCCTCCGATTTTCTTCAATCGAGCTTCTCTCCATCAGGGATGGTTCCTTCGCCTCACCTTCGCCGGCCACAAGGGACGCTGCCTCTGCTTCTCTTCTACACCGGATGCCTCCGACTCACCTCCGTCGGCTTCTCATCTGCGCCGTTGTTGCAATCCTGCCGCCGCCACCCGCCTATTTGGGGCTAGGGCGAGTGGTCTTCTTCTCCTCCTCCTCCTCCTCCTCCTCCTCCTCTACTTCTTCGTTGTGAATCGTCGCAGATCTAGTGGTTGTTGGAGCTGATTGGGCTTGGGCGAGTCGCAGCGGGCTAGGGGACTGGGCCAAGGCAGGGCGATGGTTGTTGGGGGAGGCTGCGAGCCGCAGAGAGGCTAGGGTGAGTTGGAGAGGGCTGGCGGAGCTGAAGAGTAGGTGGTGGCGGGGTGGTGCCGGTGCTGGGGAAGATACGTTGGGGATGGGGCTGGGAAGCTGTGGGGGAGCAGGGGAAGGGAACTAGGGTACAGGGGAAGGGGTTAGGGTGCATGGGAGGTGGGCTGGTGTGCAGGGGAGGTGGGCTGGGGTGCAGGGAGGGGACTGGGGTGCGAGGAGGTGACTAGGGGAGTAGTGGAGGGGGCTGGGGTGTAGGGGCGGTTGGCGGTCCCAGGCGATGATGGCGGTGTCGAGGCGGTAGTGTGATGGTTTTCGGCGAAAATCTTGAGGTGGAAAAGTAGTCGGAAATTTTTTCGGCAACACAGTGATACGTTTTCCGGTATAGTGACATCTGAAAGTGACGTGAAAACTGGTAGTGACATTTCAAAAATGACACAAAAATCTGATAGTGACATAAAAATCCGACAGTGACATGGAAAATGACAGTGACATCATGTTTTCCAAATATGTGACCTTTTTAGTCACATTTTTGTCTTTTTATAAAAATGGTCACTTTTTTGGAAATTGACTTTAGTTTATTAATATTCAAGTAAAAAGCCCATATTTTAATAGATGGGATTTAGTTAGACTTTGTTTGCAAGTGCTTGCGCTTAAATAAAAACACTTTTTTGGGAAAAAGTGATTAGTAGTAAAAGTTGGTAGTGTTTAGTAAAATAAGTGTTTTTTGTGTAATAGAAAAAGTAAAAATTAGATTTTACACGAAAACCGAAAAAGTAAAAACTGGTAGTGCTTGATAAAATAAGTGCTTTTTTTCTTAGAAAAAAAGGCACAATCACTTAAATTAAGGAGTGACAATCAGTGCCTTATTGGTTTATAGAAAGAAAGGATGAAGTGAAAATGGCTTTTTCCTTGAAATAGAAACCACTCTAAAATATCGTTCTTTCACTCTCAGTAAAACTTTTCTGCATGAAGAGGGAGTATGAGTTACGCAGGATTCCATTCTCGCGATTTCTAGACGCGTGTCACCGTTGCGACTACTTTAAAGCGGAGTAGTTAATCAAAAAGAAAAGCTAAATCATGAAAAATGGCATTCCCTAATTGGAGAAAACTCAAGTCTCTCTCACTCTTATTATTTCCCAATTGATCAGAACCGAAATCAACGGTCCAGATCCCTCCATCCCACTCCACCTCCTCCTTTAAATACCCTGCTCCTCCGTCCTTAACCCTTCCCCCTTTTCTCTCGCTCTTAAACCTCCTCTCTTCCTCAACCGCTTAGGCCCGGAATTAGATATGAAGTTGGGGAAGAGGCCCAGGCCCGCGATGCCCAGGACCAACACCGTTAAGGAATTTTCCTCCGATCAAATGGCCGTCGATCCTCCGCCGCCGGCGGTCGCTAACCACCACACTGCCTTCTCAGCTCATTTCCTTACCGCTTGTTCCCTTTGCAAACGCCGTCTCATTCCCGGCCGTGATATCTATATGTACAGGTATATACTATCTCCGATTGTTCTTGGTCGAACAGTTTCGTTTTGTCCACTTAATTAGGATGTCAATTTTTAATTTTATTCTAATTCGTAGTTTACAATTATGAAAAGATTTCAATGTAATTTCTGAATGTAAATTTAATTATTAAAAATTGAATTAATTATATATAGGGAGTATTTATGATATGCGTGCATGCATTTTTTTGGAGATATATAGAATTGTTTTTTCGTGTCCTTAATTAGTTAGATTCTTTGGGAAAAATTGGATTCCTTGGAGAAATTATCGTTAGGCTTGGTTTGGAACGTCGGAAATGCTAGGTAGAATATGGAAGAAAATTATACTCAGTTGTGAAAATTTAGAACATAATCCTTTGTAAGGATGATAAAGTACGTATTGATTTAAACCTATAGTAATTGCCTTTGAATAGGACATAAAACGTTTTCAAATTCTAAATCTATTTTTATTTTCTAAATAGAAGTAATTTCAGTGAAGTTTGAAAAAAGACAGTTTATTCCCTTATAATTTCGAATTTGAAGAGATAGTCGGATTTGGTTGTTACTCCTTAAACCTAATCAAATAAATTTGATCTTATTGTTCATCCAAACTCATTTTCAGTCTTGTATTTGGATTATATACATACTACCGAATCTACGTATTTGGAGTACTAAACAATCGGAACAAATGCTAAAAGCAAATTGAATGAGGGCGAGGCGTAAGCACCGCTCATTGGATTGAATTGGAACCGAATCTATCGGTCCTAAACTTTTTAAAGTTATTGGACCGAAGAGGGATTTCTAAGATTCCGGCCCAGATTATTCTGGATTTGACAAGATAGTAGGGGGATAAGGGTTTCTGTTCGGTTTTTATTGATTTTCAATTTCGTTATGATATTATTACTGTAGGTACTATCCTGGTCTCTTTTTAATCGCAACATGTTGAATTTTACACTATTCACATGTTCTACTTTGACTACATTTTATATTATTATTTTATGAAAATTATTATTTTTAAATTATATTGTTCAATTCATCTCATTGCTAATTTTCAAAATCTAATTTTTAAATATTTTTTACTAATGGGGATTAAGATATAATTACAGTCAAAGATGTGTGTTGGCAAGTGTGAAATGTTGACCATTGCAACTAAAAAAGAACGGAGGAAGTATATTTTAGATCGGTTATGTCTTTTTTCAGTTTTTCATAATTTCAGTTCTTTTTTATTTACTGCTAAATGCAAACCGAATTGAATAGACAATATGATTCGGTTTCGGTCCGATTTAATTCAATTATGTTTGATTTGGTTCGATTGTTTGATCCTGACATAACGTTATTTAAAAATAATGATCCAATACAGATGTTGATTATGTTTTTTGGAGAAAGATGTTGAATAAATTAATAACAAGATTTTGTATATGCAGTAAATATTTTACGGAGTAATAAATTTCCTGACTATGATTTATGTTTTACTTTTTACTAAATGTGCTTATCCCTACGCACAATATGGATATGTTAAAACATGGACATTCAAATTCAAAAACGGCCACATACAATCTGAGAAAATATATTCGGGAATATTTGTAAATAGTAGAAGCTATAAAGAGTTGTTTTCTTTAAATTAAAAATAAAATATTATTGTTCTTTGAATTACTTAGGCATGATAAAGTTGGCAACCCAAAACACCCGCTTCGAGACCCGACCCATATACTATGTGAGTCTGTGACTATGTCATAGTAACATTAAAAACAATTATAGTCCTTAAAAATTATCATGTCACATTTTCGTTCACCTGTCATAGTAACATTAAAAACAATTATAGGTTCATCCAAAAAAAAAATTAAAAACAATTATAGTCCTTAAAAATTATCATGTCACATTTTCGTTCACCTGTCATAGTAACATTAAAAACAATTATAGTCCTTAAAAATTATCATGTCACATTTTCGTTCACCTGTCATAGTAACATTAAAAACAATTATAGTCCTTAAAAATTATCATGTCACATTCCGCTTTATTCCGATTAATATTAGGGACTTTTTCCTAGATTATCACACAGATTTTAACATTAAATATTTTTTTTTATCGAAATTGATGAGATGGACCAGGGCACGGTTGGCTCCTAACCCACACCCATGTGTGTAGGGTAATCAATGAATTAATCAAATATATCCACATAATATATTCGAGTTTGGTTGTTGTAGATGGGATTCCTATAATATTCAAACATGATAAACGATTTGTGTATTCGATCTGTCAACTCATGGGCACAAATGTGCCCCTTGAGAACAATTAGGGAGCCGAAATTTGTTATTTAATTGTACTAGTAATGGTTTTCCTTACTAATTTATTGTCTTGTTTGTCATCTTAACTTCTATTCTCTAATACTCCGTATATCATTTCCCATCAATAATATCGAATCATAAGTTTCATTTGTTTTATATTCCTTGGTTCCGACTTGCGAATAAACGATTACAATCTTGACCGTCCAAAAAGAATCTTGACTTTCTCGCATTATTATTGCTTAATAATTGATGTTAACGTTATTGCTTAACTTTTATATTAGAGTAACTTAAATATATTTCACGTTTCATAAGAGTGTGAGTCTATCCGCAACTTTCTTATCAAAACTTAGCATGATCAAATTGCGTTTAATACTCCTATATTAAGAATCACGATTCAATATAAAAGATGTGAACTAAGGATGGTTTTACTTGAAGTGAAATTTGTTGGCCGGGTCTTTTTAAGTTGATTTGATCGTCTGGAAATGTCTAATATCCGTGCATTTATAAGTTGGAAGTATGATTTGGTCTGATCTGATCTGTTTAAGTCTGATCTAATATAGGACTGAAAACAGTCCAAATAATAACATCTTAATCCATGACTATCTCGAAAGCCTTTTGGTGACACATACTAGTACTAGGTACTTTAAATTTACCAAACTTATTGGTTATAATCAAAACAAGCCATGAGAATTGGTCTAGTCTAGTCTAATCTAGGGCTTCCAAATTTTGGTATGGTTTGACATGGTCTAATTTAGTCATCGAATGAATTATATTTAATTAAAAAGATTCAAATTGCTTATGACTTTATAGCACTATGCAATGTTTTTTAATTCCAATGAAAGGCTCCTAATCAATTTGATTTGATTCAAACAGAGGAGACACTGGGTTTTGCAGCCAAGAATGCAGAGAACAGCAAATAAAAAGGGATGAGAGAAAAGAGAAGTGTTCAGTGTTCACATCCAAGAGGAAGGGTGCCGGTGCGGCCGCCGCCACATCCGCTGCCGCAGCCACCGGGCCCAATGGCGTCGCCAACCCTAGCGCCGCCGTGTAGATTAGTTAGTTACTTAGCCGTAAAACGGTGTCAGATATTTATAGTGCACCGCTACATATGAATCGACACGTGTGTAAACTATACTCCATCTCAAACTTATATATATACTCCGTCTTTTGTTGAAATGATGAGAATAATTGTAGCCGACATATATGTAAGAAGTATTGGGCATCTCTTAATTCAACAATACTTGATCTACCCACTTATATCCATCTTATACTCACCATGTTTATAGAAGTTTTTTTCGTCTGTGTACCCGGTTCACAGACAATATGTTGTTTGTGCAAAAAATTGTTTGTGAGTCGGAGTTTACAGACAAAAAAAATACTTCACAAAACTAGGTGGGTATAAGAGTGAGTAGGAAAGATCATTTTTGCTCTTAATTTTCAATTTCAGCAATCACGACCAACACGTGGTACAGAACTACACAAGTAAGAATTGTCAATTTGCATAAGTTATGAGACCAATTAGTGACTTTGTTTTTTTGGAAGATGTGAATTTTGTACATACATGCTAGTTGAATTATTTGCACAGAGACTATTTCTTCTCGTTTTGTGAGGAAACGTTTTGTGAGGAAAGTTGTTTTTCGCACCAATAAATTTTTGTTCCCGTGCCACATACAAAAAACTTATCAGTGTGAAAAATAATTTACTTTACAAATGAAAAAAAATTGTCTATCTGTATTGTCAATTTAGACTAGAGTGTAAACTGCTAATCTGCCATATACAAAAAAAAACGTGTACCCAAAGCATTGGATGTTTTTCTTTTTGGGGTACGGAATGCTTAATTTAATTTAATTTAATTTGTTGTAAATCCTCCGGTTGATTTGTGTTCCTTAAGGAGTACGGAATGCTTCTTTATGGATGGGGTCGTTATTTGATCATTTTGGAAGTACAGTGCCTTAAACTCTATCTAGTTTTGTGTTTTAACTGATTTATTTCGTTTGGATCAATTTTAAAAAGAAAATGGTCAAATAAGGCCTTATACTATTATGAAATCGTCACATAAGGTCATGTACTGAAAAATGATCGGATGAGTCCTAATGACCCGTTGACAACCTCTTAATCCTGATTTTAGCTTACGTGTCAATTTTTTGACTTGTATTTCAACCAATTTTAGGTAAATATTCAACGTGTGCCGTATAATCTATTATAAAAAGATGGTTTCAAGAACACTAAAATCGAGATTAGGAGGTTGTAAATAGGTCGTCAGGACTTATTTGATTGTTTTTTACAAGTACACGCATTTATATGACACTTTATTGAGTACATGGCCTTATGTGACAATTTCATAATAGTAGAAGGCCTTATTTGACTCTTTTCTCAATTTTAAACGATGAAACTTTTCTATTCTATTTCATACTTCATATTATCATTCATTTTGTTTTTTGAAGAAGAAATAAGTTTGTTTATTTAAAAATGTCCCAAGTTAAAGAAACTATATCCAAGTTACTCTAAATCATACTCCATAGTTGTTAGTAAACAATTAAACCGTAAAACCAGCTCTTCACTCTCATATCATATTCATTTGGATTTTATCCTTACGTGAGAAATACATTACAAATAGACACAATTTTCTCAATTTAAAAATATTTGGGAATAAATTCCAAATTCGAATAAAAAAGATTGACAATCCCAAAATATGATTACTACATTTTGTTCACGAAATAGAAGTTACTCCGTATATGTCAATTGTCAGTGTCATATATCTTGTAGTTATTATTGTGAAAATAATTATAGTACTAGATATTAACATGTCAAATTTTATAATGAACGTTTTCATTGATGTTTAGGCCGGACAATTTCCTAAGATATGGAGTATTTTCTTTTCTAATACGGCGGCAGCTCTTTAACTTTATCGATCTTATAGTGTATCTTCCCAACACTAATAAACTGAGAGAGCTCCTTATCAATGCAGTTTTCTTACACACTAAAAGCATTAGCCACCGCCTCAATGGCTACACTTCTAGAAGTCCGACTTAAAGAATTGGAATAAAGAACAGCTCACCCGTCTCATAGAATAATGGAAGTGTAGGTGCAATTAGCAGAGTGCAATAAAGAAATTAGTCAATCTCTATTATATACATTAAACCTCCTTTAAGTTAATAATGGAAATGCTTTTAGAATCGTATCAACTTCACTAGAGTGCAAAAACAGTTTTGCTTGGTAGTTGGTAGTTCTGTCAAGATTTTTGAAGGGGTTTCTTTGAACTCTTTTGATATCTTTGGTTTCTATTTACCAAACTTATATTTTCTTACCTCTTTACTTTTTATCATTGTCAATATCACTTCTCAGGTTCGTACTCAATCCTAGTGGCATGTGAATAGTTGTATTCCTCGAGTATAGTACCTGAAGTATAGCAGCTCAACTGTTATACGGAGTAGGTATTTAGTCACTATCTAGACACATTACCTTTTTGGGATGTCAAATATGCTCTTTTAATATACGCTATGAAGATAGAAATCCATTAAAGATAAACATTAAAGCCTACTGCAATGATAGAATCAACTTCAGGAGATGGAAGGTGAGAATGAGAAGGGTTCATCAACTTCCTCAAATATTAAGTTTTGATAATCAACTTCCTCAAACGGTTCAGCTAAGGAAAATAATTGCAGGCTTCAAAGACAAATCTTGACAAAGTCAATCTGACCGGACGTACTAAAGGCACATGGATGAGAGATATCCATGATCTATTTACTTTATTGGTTAGTATTAACATTTTTTACTATAAATCTAATGGATTTGTATAATTACATATTTTTGTTATTGGGACTTGGGAGTGACTTTCTGCGAAACCTAATTTAATCTCATTGGTTGTTATTATGATTATTAATAGCTAATTACAATACTATATTTTCAGCCAGTATCAACTTACCATAGTAGTATAAAAATGGCTTCTCAATTCCAATTCAATTATCAAAGCTACATTAGCTATATTTAAAATGTCTGGGAAATCCCTATCTTAAAACTGAAAACTTTGCTTTCCAACGTGTGTTATCTGCTACACCAAAAATCTTTGGAAGCATTTTAAAATAAAGCACCGGAAAGGAAATGTATAGTTTGGTGGTGTTGATAATGTTCTAAACTGCAATTTGGTTTTGTTCATCCTATAAGAACTTTGTGTGCTATTAATATTAGTTTCCTTTTAAACTCTCCAACAGAACGTGAAGAGGAGGATAAATTAATAGGCGGAAGTTAGAGATGGAGCTCTCCAACATTTGCAGTGACATCTTGACTGTGATCGATGATCATCTTATCCATATTTCTTCTACTAGAGAGTCTACAATGTTTTATACAATATGTCAGAGGTGGATCTGTGACCATATTTTTCTGTCTTTTAGTTAATTGTCAGCTTTTGGGTGATTATTAGACCAATTTTACTTTTTAATTGCAGGAACGGGGATTCTTCTCGATACCTTTCCGAGTTTAAAACTTGTGATGACTAGAAAGAAGTTGCCTATCTTTCTCTGAAAGCATATGAAGTACACATAATTGTCGTTTATCACTTTTTGGCTATGCCCGGATCATGAAAACTATCAGGGAAAAGGAAAACATTGCCAAAGAAAGTTATTTACTTATGGTTGTTGTGTTTTATCTCGAAAACTGTGAATGAAAGTTACAAGTGATAAAAATCTAAATTGTATAACCTGTGTTTTGTTTTCTTAGTCTTTTTGTTATTGAAATGAATAACTAAAATTAGTTTAACCAAAATATAAAAAATAATGATGTCGAGTTCGAGACTTCGACTCAACCTTTTATCTTCCTCCAAGCTTTCTTTCCTACCAATTTTTCTTTATGCCCCCCATTTTGTTTACCTTCTATTTCCGGAGTTTGAGAATACTTGGCTTCCCCAAAACACTTATTTTTTTATCATTAGATGTTCTATATGTTTCAACTTTTATGTGTGAATAATAGCCACACAAATAATTCATAAGAAAAAAAACTGGAAGATATTGTAGTGAGATCTCAGAAAAAAGTGGGGAGATTTTTTTTCATTTGAAGATAGTCATCCCAAAGTCTTCAAGTGTCCGTTTAAGAGGTTTTGATGATGCAAACATTGTCATTCACTATAATGTGATGATTTCACTCAACGAATTATTGTCACTTTCTAAATTTTAATATGAAAAATGCTCATAAAAATCATTTTCAAATCAAAATATAAAATATACATATTTTGATGAAAATACATTGGGCATTTAGTTAATCGCGCAACGCGCGTGTAAATAACTAGTTAACTCCATACGTAGTATAATACTCCATCCGTTCTTTACTAAGTGTTCCCTTAGACTTTGGCACTGGTTTTGAGGAGAAAATAATAGAGGTAATGTAAAAGGTGTAGTGAAAATAGGAATACAAGTAAGGATAAATAGTGAAAATAGAGGTAATGTAAAAGGTTTTGTGTTTAAATGAGAAAATAGGAAAAAGAAAGGGGTAAAAGTAATAAAAATGAGGATAAAAAAACATTTTGATTGAAAAAACTTATCAAAATAGGAGAGAAAGACAAATAATTAAAAACGTCCCAAAAAGGAATACAAGACAATTAATAAAGAACGGAGGGACTATTAAATATTACTACAGTAATCATTAAAATTTTTAAAAATGGATACCCTCTTAATTAGTGAGCTTTATCTACAGAATTTTTTAACTTGTTCATAACTGGCCCTGCTTGTGTAGGAATCAAAGTATCAAACAAATATATTGAAAACATGGGCAGAACCCATAACAGTTTTTTTTATCATCAAACAGGCCTCTATTCATATTAAAAGATTCAGGATCATTACATCAAACAAAAGGAAAATAAAACTGACACCAACTGAAACTTCAACAACTACGACTGTAACCCTATGGTGAGACTTTGAGACGGTCACCCCTGAGAGAGCAACACGAATCGCTAACCATGTAGTGGGCTTGACACAGCCAAACCTATCCCATAGATCCAACCATACCCAATGACATAAAGAGAGGCAAAAAACTCAAACAAACTGTCAAAACCAACAACAAAAGTGGACACAAGAAAACAAATAACAAACAGATAAAAACTACAAGAAAAGCGTTCACGAACTCTAGCACCTCGTACATCCCATGGTGGTGGTTCAGGAGGAGGTCTTACCACCGGTACCATGCTAATTGATACTCCGTGACCTTTGTCTGCCAAAGGCCATGCATCAATCCTCCGTCCCTGCATAACCAAACTCATCCCTGCTTCATGCAACCAGAGTAAACGGATAGGCGGCGCCGATCATCTCCAACGACGACAGCAATACATCATCCTCGAACCTTGACCACAACGCCGATCTCCTCGAGCCATGACAGCAAATCCGCCCTTCGAGTATGAAGCACAAACAACAGCAACCGTCCTTCGATTAAAATCGAAGACGGAAATGGCGGCCGTCCTTCGATTAAAATCGAAGACGGAAAAAACGGCCGTCCTTCGATTAAAATCGAAGACGGAAAAAAACTCCAAGCGGCCGAAGCCCTAGAGAGAAGCGAGAGACCCCTTCTACTCCCATAGAACCCATAACAGTTTGAAA